TAGCAATTAATCCATTCAAATGGAGTGACCATTTAATCCTTGTCCATGATTTTTTAAATAGAACATAAGGAGAGTCCCCAGGCTCAAGCAACAGAATCAGAGTGAAGTTATTGCAGGCTGCATCAATAGCACAAAAGGGCAAAAAAGAAACTGCAGAGTCGATGATGTAGCCAGAATCAGTGGATCAAAGAGCTCCTGTGTGTCAGCCCTCATCCCTCTCCAAGACCAACTACTGGAGTACAGAAAAGGCACCACCTCACATCTGTACCAGAGAGAGACTTTGTTCAAAACAAAGGGATGTAAATCATGTCCTCAAAGTCAGACTTCCACAGCTGCCTGGAGTGAGTGGTATTTCACCCAAAGGGTATCTCCACAAATGAGAAATGACCTTAGTTTAAAACTAATTCTACATGCTAATACATCTGGTAAGCAGAATACAGTAACTGGCTACATATAATTACACACACATAAATGCTATACTTATCTCCCACAGTGTTTTCTCTTCATTTTCAATAATGCTCAAGCATACAGTACATACGTAACATGAACTGAGCAAGCTTCAAAAGCAGATTTAGTATTCAGAACATAAGCTAACAGTAAGAAAAGGCGATCACACACATTTGTCTTCTGAGATTTTTTTAAATTCAATATAAAAGCATTTAAAATTTACAGTATCTACAAGTAGTTTAGTTACAAATTTCAGACAAGAACCAAACTATGTTCAGCAGGCTCATTGTTGACAATTAAGTTTCTGAAGTCAGGAAGACTTGCATTAAATGTTAGAAAATACTTTCTAGGGGTAAAGAACTCCTAGAATAAATTGCCTGATGGGGTTATGGAGTCTTTAAACAAATGCATAGGAGAAATGATGCAGTTCTGGGTGTCCTGGTTTCAGCTGGGATAGAATTAATTTTCTTCCTAGTAGCTGGTACAGTGCTATGTTTTGGATTTAGTGTGAGAATAATGTTGGTAACACACTGATTTTTTCAGTTGCACTAAGTAGCGCTTATCCCAAGTTACAGATTTTTCAGTTTCCCATGCTCTGCCAGCAAGCAGGTGCACAAGAAGCTGGGAGGGAGCATGGCCAGGACAGCTGACCCGAACTAGCCAAAGGGATGTTCCATACCATAGAACATTATGCTCAGTATATAAACTGAGGGGGAGTTGGCCGAGAGGGGCAGATCACTGCCTGGGGACTGGCTGAGCATCAGTCAGCAGGTGGTGAGCAATTGCATTGTGCATCACTTGCCTTTTCTTAGATTTTACTTCTCCCTCTTTTTGCTATCTTCCTTTTCATTACAATTATTATTATATTTTATTTTAGTTACTAAACTGTTCTTATCTCAACCCACAAGTTTTACTTTTTTTTTCCAATTCTCCTTCCCATTCTACCAGATGAGGGGGAAGGAGTGAGTGAGCAGCTGTGTGGTGCTTAGTTGCCAGCTGGGGTTAAAGCATGAGACTGCGGAGAAGAATGAACCAACCATAAGACCCCTGGAGGTCCCACCTAGCCCAATGATTGCATCCTTTTAGAGAAAAGAGAAAGTGTATTAATAAACAAGGGCTTCATAGTTAAAGGACTGAATTTTTAAAAACCACACTAAAGAAATCTATGCAGGTCTCTTATAATATAAAAGGTGCTTTGTGCTTGGTTTGTTGTTTTGGGTTTTTTTAAGACATGCTGAAAATATTAATTTGAACCAAGTGACATTCTAACTTTTTATTATCAGATCTGCAATTAGCAATAAAATATTGTGGTAATACTGCAAATGTTCTGCTTTTACGCTTTTTCCACATAAATCAATAATGTAGCTTAAAAAAAAAAAAATCATTCTTGTCAAAGCTACTGACATCTGTGGAAACAAGACATCTTGTAGTGTCCCAGTTGCTTAGAACAGGCATGCGTATTTGTCTGTAGTCCTTCACTAGTTAAGATTGCAGGAAAAGAAACTTGCATGGGAAGAGCTGTTTCGCTCGAGGCTAGAAATAACCAGGTGCTCTGAAGTGGTGACATGTAAACAGTTTAGTATTACTAAGTAAGAGCTATTAAATAATTTTGAACCTGTTAATGTTAGGTACTTTGATATCCTGTGTCAAGGTGCTATGCATGAATATCCAGAAGCTTAAGCAAAGTACTACTTCATCACAAGAGTATTACTTTATTAATTTAAACTCATTCAGTAGTTAAGTGAAAATGCATAGATAAATACTACCTGGCAGCTTCCAAACCACAGGGCTCAGATATTTGGTACTACAGAACTGCAAAAGCAAGGCTAACCAGCTGTAGCTGGCAAGGCATTTCTATGTTCCCTATCGCAAGAAGTCATCACACTGCAGGCTGCTGGATCGTATCCTAGTAGGAATACCATCATGTACTTGCCGTGTTTTTAGGCTCTCTCAATACCACTACTAGCAACTGCTAGAAACAATACTGGGGGAAATAGAGCTTATTGACCCAGGGAACACATCTTGTCTCACTGTGGCCTTATGATTTCAGCTAGTCACAGGTAATAAAAGAATCCGGTGCTTTGCGTGCCCTTAAACTTCTTTATTTCACAATTATAAAACCTGCAAGTTGGCCTGAGTAATTTAAACATCTAAACTATCCCTGTGCTATTGCCTACTTGTTAAGTACACAGCACACAGAAGACATACCTGCAGAGAGGGTGGTAATTCAGTGGCTGTTGCAATTACAGTTCAGAAATTTTCATTAAAAAAAAATACATTTAACGTTGTAAAAGTTACAAGAAGAGGTCAGTTGTGCACATACATATGTTGTATAGCACAAAGCACTCATACTCCTATGCTTGATTTTCAGCTTACAGAGTAACAATGCCTTTCCATTATATGTAACTACCCGCCATGCCAAATTTTTCCCATATGCTCATTTTATATTTCTGATCGATCTTAACATCCTTGTGCTTAACTATATCCTAGCACCTGGCTGGTCCCTTTTACTCACATAGGGCTCTATGTGACTTGAAAGATTCAGGACAATGTACAATGCAGTAGTATTGCAGGGGGAAGACAAAAGAATCTGAGACAGTCACTTGGTTTTAAAATGGATCTATCTGCCCCCACACAGGCAAAAAATAACATTCCTCTCCCAGTGTGGCAGCAAAGGAAAACCTTCCAGAACAGAAAACACTTAGTGATCTCTTAGGTTCACACAAGCCTAAGAGGCTGAATCTTAGTTAATAATTTTCCTAACAGTGCCAGGGTTTCAATATGCACTGTTAATAATACAAATATAACATTTCCAAGAAATTACATTCTTCTGACAGAATAGTTTTGAGGCAGATATACTGAACAGAATGACTACTATGGCTAATTCCTCATCTTCTTGGAGAACAGCAACATATTTTTTTTTTGGACAAAACTGACAGAAGGAAAACAACCTCCCAATTGCAAGAAGATGAAATACTCCAAGCAGTAGCAAAGAAGATACTCAGCAAATTGTCTGATCAGAAACTTCTTCTCCCAAAACAAGGTAAACTCAGTTTCCAATGCCCTATTTCTCCCTTGTGAGCCAAGTTTAACTTAAACGCTTGCCTGACATTTATAAAGTCCAGAGGTATTTACTGCAGTTCATATTTATCAACAAACCTACAAAACCTGAAAGAAATTACATCAACTTCACGCTCTGCCCAAGTTGCAGCTGCTCATCATCTTAGTAGACAGACTGCTAAAAGCACACTTCAGTGGTGAACCTATTATTAACTGAAAAGTCAGCTTAGTTGAAGTTTCAAAGTGTAAGCTAATTCTGATTTTCAAAAGCTTCTTGTAACACCAAAAGAGTTTTCTGCACTTCCACAACGGAGATATCTATACACTAGTGGATCCTAAGCAAAAAGTCACCAGCATTGCCTTCTAGGAACTCAACCAAGAACACAACATTGAAAAAGTTACTAGGGGGTCTCACTACATTTGAACATAATGCAGAAACAAATCAAAACCAGCTAATGCATACCAAAATCTTTCTAGTTGGGCTTTCCATTACACCATAACTACAAAATTCACCTATTTGATTGGGCTTTTCCTAACATTATCAAAACCCTGCTAACAAATCTGTTATCTTCCCATGAGTAAAGAAGGGAAAAATAGCTATTGTCTTTAAATCTTTGGGAATTGAGAATGTACCACTGGGGTTAATGTCTGACATCTGCAGGAATGAAAGTACTCCAGAAACTATTGTATAAACTAACTTTATCTTAGGAATACTCATGCCACTGAGAAGCGTTAAGGACAGAAGTACTATGATACTGGTTTTCCTTTAAAACCACCTGCTATAAATTGCAAACATTTCTGATAATCCTATAAAATATATCTTTAAAAACAAAGTATTTGTTTTGTATAAACACTGTATACAGACAACCTTGTGTCTGTATAACAACTTTTTTCTGAACTAAGCTTCATTAGGAACTATTGTAAACATTTCCTACAAACAGAAAATACCCATCAAATCTTGACTAAAGGCAAATAACTGGATTGCAGGCATTAGAGTCAAAAGTTTTTAAATATAACAAATAAAATCCTCATCCTTCAGTTTTCAAAACTACCATCTCATGCTACAAAATTCAAAGGGCTGTCAGATGACAATAACTTATGAACTACAACTTACCACACTACTTCTCTGTTGTCCTGAGATGCATTTTTGAGGGAGGTAATTTGGTGTAGTTCCTGAGCTATGCCATAAAAAGGGGAAAAATGGTAGTCATTTTCAACCTGCTAGAAAACATGTTTGAACGAAGTCCTGTTGATTTCTATTGTTCTAAGAATTAGGATAAAAATGCTCTGGAGGAAAGCAGGCTTTTGAATTTCAAAAATATTTTTAAAAGAATTTATGCAACCACCCATTATACACATTTTTTTTCCAATGACGATCCGCCAGCATGCTAATACAGGAGTTATCCAGAATGTGACATGGTTACACAACATACCTAGGTGATCCAAACAGATGTAGCTACACAAAAATAAAAGCACTTTTAAAAATAGCTTTTTTAGTCACAGCACTTATGTTATAAAGGACGAAGTCTATAATTTTCTCACCGACATGTACAAAGTAACCATCCTGGAAGGACATACTTCTATTGCAGAAAAGACTCTAAATAACTGGTTCTTGGCCATGGAGTCAAATTCTTAAGATATACAGGAAAACGTTACAGGCATATTCTTACTTAAACGAAATAGTAGCATTTTGTTTAATACAAAAATACTCTTCAAAAGAAAAAGACAAGCAAGATAATATCTCCAATAAAGGCAAAAACTCTCAAAATATTTCTGGCACATCTCTATTGTAACCAAGTGAAGGACTTAAGCATTATGTTCATCGAATTAATTTTAAAAAGGATTTGAAACAGAGGGGAATAATGATACAGCTGCTGTTTTATACTCCTCCATGAAGTCTGTTCTCCATAGAGTACTGTTAAAAAAGAGCTCTATTTCAAATAGGAAATAGTAAATTATGTCATATACACAAACACTTCTAAAGTGGTTATTATGAAATTTCCCCCCACTTTTTATGCTGTTCTCAGGCACTACTTTCAGTTCCATTTCAAGATCCTGCTGTACTAAGTTGTGTACTAGTTACTCTGGTTGGATCAGAAAAGTACAACTTATAGATGTTCGTAATACAACACAGACTTTCCATAATCTTCAGTAATGCTGTTCTCCCTCAGTTCTGGTTAAACACTTCAGCTATCCTGGTTAGTCAGTCGGCCTGTAAGCAATCACAGGCTGTTCTTCACCAACATCTATCAACATATCTAATGGAACATGAGGCTTGTCATAGCCAGAAAACTTGAGACAGCTGCTTGGTACGACTGTTTGTTTTATTTCTGTTGCAGAAACCTCTGGACCTGAAGAGTTACTGCATATATCCATTTGGCTACCGTCAGAAATGAAATAACTCTCTTTTACTTTATGATTCTGTTCGTCATCAGAAGATACCTCCTCTGTGCTTTCCTGCACAGACACCTCTTCTGCTTTGGCTGGTGCCTCTGGGGGAAGAACAGAAGATGCTCCTTCACTGGAATTCTCAGGACTAACAATGTCTTCTTTTGGCTCTACCGCCAGTGAGGTTACTTCATTCGCTGGCAACTCTGACTGGCTTGGCGTGAAGCTCATTACAGATACGTATTTTGCCTCCGATTTTGATTCTAGAATGCTGTCTGTATTCAGGTTTCTTATCACACTGACCTTAAATGGGAAAAAAAAAAAAAAATCACTTTTTGTTCCATATAATCTACTAATTTATTGGCTTCATCTTCTGCCGAAGTTCAGAGGTTAAAAAAAAAAAATGCAAGTTCATAATACAAATTTAATGTCATTACAACCAATCCCAACAGAAATTAGTGAAATTAGAATCTGGCAAGGTCATTAGCCTATATCTATGATTTCAACTGTTTTATTAATGCTTTTATGCAAGCTTTCAAAAATGCTTTCTATGTGCAAACATATTTAGAAGGACCAAATCCATTTCATGTCACCCACTGTATTTAAGTAATTTGAAGTTTGCAATGTAGAGGAAAACAGCGAAAGAAGAAAAAGCTGTAATACTCTTCAACTAGCTGGGGAAACCTTTCATATTCCTTAGCTAATGAGTGTAATTTGCAAGGACTGTAATATTTTGTGGCAACTGTCTCAACTGGGAGTGAAGTGAACTTTGGAAAGATCTTTAAAATGACAAGAAAACCTTTATGCATACCCAGCAGTCATATCTATGCTAAAGTCTTCCTAGTTATTTCTCCTGTGTCACTAACATTGAAGTTTCACTTCAAGCATCTCAAGTAACAAGGGTAATTAAGATACGGTTGCTATTTAAAGAGAAGTATTTACCATAGTTAAGTTAATATTTTTCTTTGGTGCACATTATCTAATACCAGCAAACTGACAGCCAGCATGCTTAAGCTGGATGTCAGCAGTATTTCCTGGCATGTGTAGGTGCTCAGATATCTTCCTGTCTCCAACGACAGCACCTGAACTTTTAGGTCTTTCACTGTCTCAACAGACTAGGGAGATACACCAGTGGAAACCAGGCTCAAGTATACATACAAATAACATATCCCAAGGAATCCGTAACAGTTAGGGTAATCAACAGTTTCTTTAACTTTCTTTTCTAAGGGCTTGTCCACCTACGAATTCCCAGTAATTTTCATGTGCACATTTTCTGGAGGAGAGTTTGAGAAGTCCATTTCGAATCTTATTAGGACCTTGACAAAACCTGCATGGTTCCACGACATATTAATGCTGTGTAAATGTATAAATAGGAGACTATGTTACTGCCCTATAGACGCTCACAGGAAAAAAAAAATCTGCACAAAAGCTAATGAAGCAGCTTCTCTATTGCAAGATGACAATTATTTGTGGCAAATATCAATCGAAATTTACAGGAACAATTACAATTTCTCCAAATTGAAAATATATGCTGTATAAAGAAAAAAGCCAGAGTCACAAAGAAAATCCTGAAGTGTTTTGTGAATATTGTCCTGGTTTCAGCTGGGATAGAGTTAACTGTCTTCCTAGTATCCATAAGTGTTCTATAGATACAGTGAGAGAACTGAGCCTTATCATTCCTGTCAGGCTCAGAAAAAGCACCAGCAGACAGCAGAAAAGTTGACTTAAGTATGAGCTAAAAAATGGAAGTTGATGCTTTTCAATGAGTCTTTCTCTTACAGAGTGGGTGTTTTCTACCCACTAAAATATCTGCCACCATTTAAAGGTAAGAGGCACTGAAAAAAAACCCCAGTGAAGTTAAAGCAGAGGAAGATGCTCACAGCATACCAGTTAATTAAGGCCAGGGTCCTTTTAAAGTGGATAGGCCCTTATCACAAATCTTACGACAAAAATCTAGTACAGGACAAATCACACACAGGACAAATTGGAATGACTGAAGATGGTGCGTGGAAGCAGACGGCCTCTTGAAATACTTTTTGTGAGGTAAATGAAAGAAAATGAATGGCTCTCTACAGCTAAGCTGCTGAAACATGAGATTCCTGTGATGCAGCAGAAGACTAGCATGATGAAGTCTTGTAAAGGAATCTGTCCCATTTCACTAGATGCATATTCCTGGTAGGATCCTACTATGAATAAGGATGTTTAAAACATTTAAATGCACATTTTCTCTAACGAAGGCAATCCTTCAACGCCCATACTGAAAGACAGTTGCACTGTGGAATTAGGACCTATACATGACTGACATGTTATTCTTGGGAGTCATGAACAGCATAGAAAAGACAATTTAAAAGTTCTTGAGATCTAAATGGCAATGGATTTATTTTTTTTTTTTCCTTTGGGTACATGAGACTCAGCAAAGGCAGCTGCTTGATGGTTACTGTTTCTTATTTTTCCTTCTGTTGGAGAATTCCAACTTGCCAAAAGTCATTCAAATGATGTTTTAGCATCTACTTAAAGCCACCAGGAAGCAGATCACTGGAAGGCAGCAGTCCTAAGGCAGGACACCTTGCCTAGCCTTTCAACAGATTAAAAAAAACTCCCTAGATATTTCATTTTCAGACAAGCTCAAGTAAAGTACAATGGTCATAACCTGTTGTCGTGGTTTAACCCCAGCCAGCAACTAAGCACCACGCAGCCGCTCACTCACTCCCCCATCCAGTGGGATGGGGGAGAAAATCAGGAAAAAGAAGTAAAACCCACGGGTTGAGATAAGAATGGTTTAACAGAACAGAAAAGAAGAAACTAATAACGATAATGATAACAGTAATAAAATGACAACAGCAATAATGAAAGGATTGGAATGTACAAATGATGCGCAGGGCAATTGCTCACCACCCGCCGACCGACACCCAGCCAGTCTCCGAGCGGCGATTCCCTGCCCCTACTTCCCAGTTCCTATACCAGATGGGACGTCCCATGGTATGGAATACACCGTTGGCCACTTTGGGTCAGCTGCCCTGGCTGTGTCCTGTGCCAACTTCTTGCGCCCCTCCAGCCTTCTCGCTGGCTGGGCATGAGAAGCTGAAAAATCCTTGACTTTAGACTAAACACTACTTAGCAACAACTGAAAACATCAGTGTTATCAACATTCTTCTCATACTGAACTCAAAACATAGCACTGTACCAGCTACTAGGAAGACAGTTAACTCTATCGCAGCTGAAACCAGGACACCTGTGCGGAGAGAAATATCTAGTACACATTCAAAGGTCAGTGACAGGCTCTCAGCTCCAAGAAGTCTACAGAGATAACTTCACATCATTAAATTTATTATTCATATTAATCATTTGCATTATTTATTCATTACTTTAAATGATTAATCATAAAAATAATCATAAGTTATTAATTATTCATTTTAAATTCCCACATTATTCATATCACCTGTACTGAAACTACCCTTATGAGCGCTGCAATTTTTATTTTTCACTAGAGATTTCAATGGAAATGGACAGAATCACAGAATATTCTGAATTGGAAGGGACCCATGAGGATCATAAGAGTCTAACTCCTGACTCCACTCAGGGCAACCCTGAAGTTAAACCATGCAGCTGAGAGCATGGTCCAAATGCTTCTTGAACACTGACAGGCTCAGTGCTTGACCACCCAGGTAACAATCTTTGTAAGAAGTTACAGGTTTCATTCAGCTCCTGAGCAACAAAGCATGATGTGGCATGTGAACCAGACTGTGGAACACTGGAACCTAGGAATCACGAGATAACATATAACCCAGTAAACTGAGAATATGGGCACACAAATGAGTTTCTACAAGGTGAGCTAAAGTGTGAACTTGGATCATGCATCAGGAAGCTCACAGGAGTTAAGCAGCACACATTCTATTTGTGCAACATTTTTTTTCCTGATCCCTTAGATGCGATACCACAGTGGTACTGGGAAGCCAGAATAACTATGGATCCATTGAGCATAGCACTGTCATTCTGGATGAGCTGTCTTTTGCTATAGGAACGGTCTTCACAAGAATTACTGCGTGTACACAGGACATAATGTTACATATTCAGACAGTTACATACTGGTGTGAAGATGAAAAAATCTCCAGTGTCTCACTTTTTCTGCAGGCCTGTGTGTTTTGATATTGCAGTCTAGCTGCAGATTCCGTCAGACAGGTTTCTCCTATCTGATTTTTTAAAGTCTACAGTGTGCATGGCTATCTCTGAACTAGTCTCATGGCTCTTTCACAGTCCATGGCAAGAAACAAGCATTTTAGAGAGTGTTTTGTCTGACCAGAAGTACGTACTATTTTAGAATGAGATGAATCATCTTGTGCTGCACAAGTTGATGGACTAGATTGCTGCTTACTACAAAGGGACCTTGCTAGCATCACTGGCTTGGATATCTCCATTTAGTTAGTGCAACCTCACCTCCTAATATTCTATTCCAAAGAAAGCAAGCTCCAGGGGATCTCAGGCATTGAGCTACCCCTGCACCATGAAGGAGTCAATTCAAAGGGTCTTGAAGTTGCAGAACATGGAATTCAAGATCATTGCCTCTTCTTTCTAGAAGTCTTATGAGGCTTCCTGCATCCGCTGAGAAGATACACTCTTGATATGATTACCATTTACTACTGCCTCACATGGCAGTTCTTGAAAACTGTTTCAACTGCTGCTGATTGTTCAGTTGCTGTGACTAATGAGACAGCAGGAGAACATTACAACAGTACTTGTCAGATACTCCGCTCTTGCCTGATGTGAAAGTGAGTGCTGCTGCTCTATGGAACATCCACTCTGTTTCCTAAGGACAGCTACAAGGAGTTTTTAAGGTAGCGCAGCTGCTGACCTCTCCCCCCTGTGACTGCGCAGTGTGAGTACGGATTTCCCCTAGTTGTTCTTCCCTCTTCCTACAGCACTGTTACTCCCCCTCTCGCCTTACTCTGCACATCACTTCAAGAACATTGTAGCACTCAGCAGTATCACAATATTATCACCTAATGCAGGAATCTCACAGGTGTCCAGTGACAGGACAAGAGGAAATGGGCACAAACTGAAACACGTGGAATTTTATCTGAATGTAAGAAAACTATTTGTACTGTGAGGGTGGTTAAACACTGGAATAGGTTGCCCAGAGCAGCTGTGGAGTCTCCTTCCTTGAGTATTCAAAACCCGACTGGACAAAGTCCTGGGCAACCTGCTCTCACTGACCCTGCTTGAGCAAAAGGGCTGAACTAGATGATCTCAAAAAGTCTCTTCTAACCTCAGCGATTCTGTGGTTCTGTGTCTCTGCTGCTAGAATGAATACAAACCTATCTATGTACACACACATGGAGTTTTTAAGAACTAAGTTCTCAAGCTAGACCAACTACTGCTACTTCAGTTAAAATGAGACTGAAGTCTAGCCCTAAAACAAACACAAGGCATCTGGTTGCAGAGGCTATCAGAGTATTAGACTAGTATAAATCCTAAATATCTATGAGACCATGGTAAAAGAAAATGAGAAAGGCATAAAGATGTTCTAGTTATAAAAGTTACCTAGTTGGATATTAAAAAACTGACACAGATAAGAAGTCTGAACTTACCAAAGACTTAGGCAGCTTTATGTTCTTCTTCCTTAGTTTCTTGCAGCCACAACATACTGTCAACATTAGACTCAGGCTCAGAGTAACACCACACAGAATGATGATATATTGCATGCCTAAGAAGTCAGAGCAAAAACTGTTAGGAAGTTTGGAAAAATAAACAACTGCTGTATCAGTTAGAGTAACTTCAGAAACCATAATAGAATCATAGAATGCTTTGGGTTGGAAGGGACCCTAAAGATCATTTAGTCACAACCCCCCTGCCACGGGCAGGGCCACCTTCCACTAGACCAGGTTGCTCAAAGTCCCATCCAACCTGGCCTTGAACACTCTGAGGGATGGGGCATCCACAACTTCTCTGGGCAACCTCTTCCAGTGCCTCACCACCCTCATAGTGAAGAATTTCTTCCTTACATCTAATCTAAATCTACTCTCTTTCAGTTTAAAGCCATTATCCCTTGTCCCATCACTACATGCCCTTGTAAAAAGTCCCTCTCCAGCTTTCTTGTAGGTCCCCTTTAGGTACTGGAAGGCTGCTGTAAGGTCTCCCCGGTGCCTTCTCTTCTCCAGGCTGAACAACCCCAACTCTCTCAGCCTGTCTTCATAGGAGAGGTGCTCCAGCCCTCTGATCATCTTCTTGGCCCTCCTCTGGACTCCATCCAACAGGTCCATGTCCTTCTTATGCTGGGGGCGCCAGAGCTGAACGCAGTACTCCAGGTGGGGTCTCACAAGAGCACAGTAGAGGGGCAGAATCACCTCCCTCAACTTGCTGGCCACACGTCTCTTGATGTGGCCCAGAATGAGACTGGCTTTCTGGGCTGCAAATGTACATTGCTTGGTCATGTTGAGCTTCTTGTTGACCAACGCCCCCAAGTCCTTCTCCTCAGGGCTGCTCTCAATTCACTCATCGCCCAGCCTGTATTTGTGCTTGGGATT